AGAAAAAAATAGGAAAAAAGAGTGGTGTAACCAATGTATTTTAGCACTTTTTCGTAATAAATCCCTTTATTGAAGCACAGCTAAAAACCTAAAACGCCGCCAGCAAATGAGAAGATACATCTACGATGGAAAATTCGCTGATTAGTTTTTTTCTATAAAATGATATTATTTATATGGTAAACTGGCAAGAAATACACCAAGATTTTACCCCAGAATTACAAAAAGAGTGGAAAGAAAAGGCTTTAGTTATGAAGAAGTATAAAGAATGGGCAAGGACTCGGAAAGAACAATTTAAACCACAAGATGTTGATTTTTTTACTGAATAGTTAAAACTGAGAGTCAAGAAAGTTGGGTTTATGCTAATTCTAGATGGTGAGCATATCAGTCTTGAAAAACTGAAAAAAAATAAGGTCTGAGTATCGAAAGCATTTAGCAGAATTAACTAATAAAAGAAATTCCTGAAATTATCCCAAAGAAAAAAGCAGAAAGTAAGCCCAGACTCTGCTGAAAGTTCTTTATTGAATTAGTTTGCTTCCTTGATTTCGCAGGAAAGAGTTCAACCCAGCAAGAAATAGCGGATTATATTTCTCAAAAAATAAAGCAGAAAGTAAGCCGTTTTGTGATATTGCAAATATTAAAGAAGCTTAGGATTACTCGTAAAAAATTGACTAACCACCATTCGGAGCAATCAAAACATACTAAGCAAATTAGAAACGTTTAAAAAGATAATTCATACAGCAGAAGCATATGCTAGGATCTCCAAGAATAAAGATGAGTTTTTAAGATTAGTAAGATTAACGCCCGAAGTAATTTGACAAAAATCTAGAATAGGCTTAGCCAAGTGCCAATCTCTTTGGGCTAAATATTCATTAACCGTAATAACAAAAACAGTGCGACCCGATAAAGCATTAAGACAAATTGGCAAAAAGGCGGTCAGAGTTTTCCCTTCCCCCGTATTCATTTGAGCGATATTAGCATGGTGGAGCACTATCCCCCCAAATATTTGGGTAGGGAAAAGCAAAAGTTCCGTCTGCCGCTGAATAACTTCCCGCACCGTTGCAAAAACCGGCACCAAATATTTATCTAAGGCTTTCTCGCGGTTCTTTTTTTGGCTCGCGTGGATTTTTTGCTGATAATAATTAAACTTGTTTTGTAGTTGATTATCAGTAAGTAATTTGGTTTTTCTTTTTAAGTTAAGGATTTTATTTTGTAAGGCGGTAAACTTTTTTAAAGTATTTTTTTTTCAAAAATAATGAAACATGGACAAGTAATAAGTATAATTTTTTGCTGATAATATATATATTTTTTTTTGCACCAAATAAATAAAAGACTATTTTTTCTCCTTACTCTTTACTTTGCGGAGGAGTTTTTAATAAGACTTTTATTGCTTTATCAAATTTAGTCTCCTTTTTGTCATCATTCATTGCCTCCACATCAATATAAGGTAAATCTCTTTTGGGATGATATTTTTCTTTAACTAATCTTAAAAACTCATCTTTATTCTTGGAGATCCTAGCATATGCTTCTGCTGTATGAATTATCTTTTTCAAGGCTTCTCTGGCTTCCTCAGGAGTTAAAGATTGGTGAAATTTCTGAGATGATACCTCTTATTTGTCTTTTGAGAAATTTGTTGAACATTTTCTCGAGAGTTTTTTCATTAATTTACTACCTGATTCAAAATCAATTTCTACTTTTTTTTGAATTTAATCACATATTAATTTCAGCAATAAACTCTTACACCTTAACCTAAAACTATTTTAAGCAACTTCAAATTTTCGAATTTAACTAAAAAAGTATAAATATTATAGTAAATGCCTGAATTACCTGAAGTTGAAACCGTTTGCCAAGCTCTCCGGACCAGCGGCATAATTGGTTCTCCTATCTCTCAAATAGAAATAAAAAAGCTTTATAAGATTTTAGGACTTAATTGATACAGAGGAAGTGCCATCTCGTGGGAAGAAATCAGTAAGGTTCGCAAGGAGTTAGCCAAGAAATATCACCCTGATAGGTGAAACAGCAAATCTGCCGTGGAGAAAGAAAGAGCCAACAAAAAAATGTTGGAAATTAATGAGGCTTTTAATACGCTAAAAAAATTATACGGAATGGAAAGCCCTGATGAAGAGGAAAAAGACACCTGTGATAATCATGGCTGCCACAACAAGTTTTCTATAAGCAGTTCGAGAAAAAAAATATATTCAACCCACGGTGAGGTGATTTATAAGTGAGAGAAAGACAAAAAAGACGGCAAATGGTGAAAAAAGAGTTCTCCTTTTTATTTTTGCTCGAAAGAATGTGCAGAAAACTTCAACAATACTCAGTCATTTAAATGTAATATATGCCAGAGTCGCTGTTCGAATGATATCAAAAAAGAAAGTGGGGGCAACTCTTATTGTCCTTTTTGCTACGAGTTATCCAAAATAGGTATAGGTAAAAATTGCTGTCAGTGTCAGCAAAAAATTAGTAAAAAAGTTTATGGGTTTACCGATAGGCAGGAAATATTTTGTTCCGAACAGTGCCGTAGTGCTTGAAATGCAGCATTTAAATGTAAGTTAGAAAAATTAGACAAACAAAAATTCATTGAAGAATATTTAAAAAAATTATCTGGTTGGGATTTATTAACCGAGGAAGAAAAGCAAGAGATTTATAATCAAGTCAATAATTCACCCAACGAACAATTTCAAACTATCTACGACCAAGCCCGAGCAATGATAAATAAAAAGAGAAGCGAAGGAAAAGAAAGTGGGGGCTCCGAAACCCCCTCTTCACCACTTAATGATAGAGGGAATGGAGAAAATCCATCAACTAACGAAAATGATAACCATTCTAACTCTCCCCCACCCAACGACCCGTCAATTACTAACTCTGATAAGGACTTCCAACAAATAGCCAATGCTCCCCTTCCGACTGCTAAAAGTCTTGCCTCTGAAAAGATTAAAAATCTCTTTCAAAAATCCTTCCTTAAACCTTCCCAATTAAGTTCACAGTTATGAAAAGGCTTTAATAATTGACAAGAAAAATTAGACTCTTTGACTAGCAGTGAGGAAATAGCTTCCTTTGCGAAAGAGTTAGAAAAGGAATTGAAAAAGAAAGAACAAGAAATTAAAACAACCCCTACTGACAACAATACGTCCAAAACTGGTCTAATTATTGGTGTTATAGTAGGAGGAGTTTTTTTGCTCGGTATAGTTGCGATTTTTCTTGTTAGAAAAAGAAACAAGTAAAAATATTAGAATCCTCACTTATTTTTCGGTTCCTTAACTTTAAAACTAATTAATAGTAATTTTATGCCGAAAAAAATTAATTTTCGCACCTTAGCCAAGAAATTTAAATTTCTCGTAATTAGACATTTTTTAATTACTACTCTCTGAACCATACTTTTAACGGTGGTTTTAGCCATTGTTGGTAGTTTTTTTTCCGAAAAAATAACTAATGATAACTTTTCTCTCTTATTACCTGCTAAACTACAAAAACTCTTTCCTCACTTAACCCTCGCCCAGTTCGTCATCGGCGGATTAGTGTTGATTAGTATTTACGCTTTTACTTTTTATTTTTCTAGTTTATGAGAGGAAGAATTACGGATTAAAGGCGGCCATTATGTCAAAAACCGTTTATTAGATAAATTTCGCTGCTTGCCTTTGGAAGAAAAACGAGCCCGCCAAAAAGAAATTAGCACTTTGGTAGAATTAGATTCTAATGGCATTGGTCGTTATTGGGAACACATGCCTAATCATATTTATCATAGTGCTCTGACTATTATTCTGTTGCTGTGAATACGGTGGGATAGTTTTAGCCAACTAGGTCCTCGGGAAGCCATTTTTTCTTTGAGTTGGTTGCTGCTAATTAATATGGTTAGTTTTTTTTTTACCAAATTAGTTTTAAGAAATGATAAAAGATATAAGCAAGAGTTAACCTACGAATGAGCCGCCCGCGAAAAAGAAACCAGCCAAGCCATTTTAATTGATAGTATGGGTTTAACTTCTCATTATCGTCACCAACAACAAAAAATAAGCCAAAAGAACGAAAATCTTCTGCTTTCTTTCAATTCCACCAAATCCTTAAATAAAACTATTCCTCGCCACTGATTAGCCGACGCTTTCCCTTACCTTCTATTATTTGTTAGCGGCTCCTTTTTAGTAGCCCAGAATAATTTATTAGGATTATGATTTATTTTTGAAAACTTTGGACAGATTTTTGAATGCTTTTGAGATTATGTGGATTATTCTTCTTCCCAGGTGAGAATTAATAATTTTCTATCCCTGCCCGAAAAAAATGACAATTTAACAGGCATTAAATTAGCCAAAAATACTAAAATAAATTCTATTAGGTTAGAAAATATTTCTTTTCGTTATCAACAACAAAAAGCATGAGTATTAAAAAATTATAATCGTACTTTTTTACCCAGCAAGATTAATTATTTACGGGGCAAAAATGGCACCGGAAAAAGCACTATTTTTTATCTCTTATTGGGAGTGCTAGTTCCCCAGTCTGGACAAGTAATTATTACTACGGAAAATAGTCAAAAGTATAATTTACACCAAGATATTAATTTGCAATACTGACGGGAAAATAATGTGGCTTATTGTGCTCATGACACACTAATTGAGGAAGGTTCAACGGGACAAAAACAATTAGCCAATATTAATAGCATTTTGGAGCAGAAAAAACCAGCCTCTCTCTGGCTCTTTGACGAAGCAGACAATGCCTTGGATGAAAATAACCAACAACAGTTTCAAGAAAAAATTAAAGAATTAAGCAAGCATAAAATGGTAGTTTATATCAAACATTAGAAAGATTATAATTTTAATGGAAGTTATTGAGCGATTAAAAAACAAAAAGGCCGAGTTAGAAAATAGATTAGCTGGTCAGTATCATGGGGGGAGCCAAAGAAAAGAAGCCTTAGAATATAGAATTAATAAAATTGATGAGTTGATTACTATTTATCAAACCACGCTTTCTCCCCTCGATTTATCCGCCGCCGAGCAAATTCTTAACCAGCAAATAGGGTGGGAGGAACAAAAAAGCAAGATTTTACATAGTTGAGAAATTGCCGAATTCCGTCGTCAACAAAATATTCCTTCTGAACCCCAAATCTTATGCCTAGTAGGACCACCTGGAGTAGGAAAAACTACTTGGGCTCGAATGTTAGCCCAAGCATGCCAACGCGAATTCTTTTTGGTAGCGCTAGGAGGATTGTCGGACACTTCGGTTTTGGTAGGAACTAGCGAGAGTTCTTCGGGAACCGAAATCGGACAATTAGCCCGTGCCCTCATAGAAACAAAATCCCCCCACCCTTTAATTTTATTAGATGAAATTGACAAAACTGGCTCCTCTTTTAAAAATGCTATTCAAGACTGTTTAGTAAATGTTTTAGACCCTACTCAAAATAAAGAAATATTAGATTATTATCTGGAAGTTAAATTAGATTTTTCCCAAACGACTTTTGTGATTACGGCGAATGACTTGAAAAAAATTCCGAACTATTTGCGTTCTCGTATGCTAATTATCGAACTGCCAGGATACAATAACGAGCAAAAAAAAGAGATTGCCCAGAAAATTATAAAAACTCGCTTTACTCAGAACGGAGGGCTCGGTCAAGATAAATTAGAGATTACTCCGGAGGCATTAACAACTTTAATTAATAAAACCCGTGAAAAAGGAGTTCGCCAATTAGAAAAGGGATTAAATAGCCTTTTTGAGTATTGCGAAGGAAAATGGATAAAAGAGATAGGGCGCGGAGAAACCGAAAGCCAAATTACCATTACTCCGAACTTAGTTAACCAAATTATCCCTCACCCTTTTCCTAATATTGATGAAGAAGATGGTCCAACCAGGCACCCCGAGCAGAAAAATTACCACGAGCAGCTAGAAACTTTACGGAAAGAGTTAAAATTACTCCAGGGAGAAAAAGATAACAAGCAAAGTGGATTAAAATTGGCTAAATTACATGCCTTACGTCTGCTATGAAAAAACCGAAAAATCCTTAGCACTGATAATTACCAAGCGAAAATTAATAATGCAGCTAGTTGGGAAGAAATTGAAATTATTGAAAAAGAGATTTTATTATTGGCCGAATCTAAGCCTTCTCCACCTAAAGAAACAAAAAAATTACCATCCAATAAATTAGTAGAATTAGAGGAAAAATTGCGTAATTTACAGCAACTTTCCGACTGGGAAATACAAAAACTAAAAACCGCCATCCAAGATTTATTAAAAGAGAAAAGCAAATCCCCGTGGAATATCAAAAATAATCCGTGGTTTATTTTATTTGCTGCCAGTTTATTAATTGGAGGAGTTTACAGTTTAAAAAAGTATACTAAGAAAACCCAGAGAGAGAAGAATCCCATATTCTCTTCCCGCTAGGGTATGAGAGAGACGAAAATAAACTCTGACTGTGAATAGTCGGCATTCTGGTTCTATTAGGAGTAATTTTTGGGATTTATTTCTTTACTAAAAACAGCAATAGTTCAGTAAAACTAATAATCAACCACACAAAAACCTAGATAATCCTAATATCCAATACTTACCCAGTGAAGAAGAAGCCCAACAAAAAATCAATCAACTAAAAACTGCTAAAAACCTTGACGACCAACAGGCCACCATTGAATTCCTGACTTCTTATGTTCCCGAAATTAAATGGTGAGAAATTAATTCTTTATCCGAATTAGATGAAAAAATAAAACTAGTAAATAGTAAAACAGGCTTTGACAGAAACTCTACTAAGTAAATTTTTTCAAGGTTATATTTATAGTGAAGCCATTCATGATGAGTTAGGAAAACAATTAGCAATTACTAATCATCAGAAATATGAGTCACAGAAAACGGGTAATAATTCTCTTAATTCGAAGTGAAATATTATTTTATATGAAATGACTTTGTTCAATGTCCCGAAATAGCTGTTTGCTGACGACATTAGAGTAAACAAATAAAATGGTAGGTTGTTTTTTTCTTCTAATACTGCTTGTAATTTGTAATAAGGAATACCGTAATAAGGACTTTTTTTATTGTAAACTTTGCGGGGTTCCTTACTGATAATTTGCCCTGATAAATCGTGCAGCTTAGGCATCTTATTTGGCCAAAGTATTCTCCGCCCTTGGTTCTTGGTGGGTTAAGTAGCAGATTTTGCAAGAGCGAGGGGGTTGCTGGGGGAATTTGATTATTCCGGAGCCATCACTACATTCGGAACATTTATTTTCCTGAGCCACATAACG